GAAAGCAGTGTTTTCAGTCAAGTCTGACTCCTAGTACAGAACAAATGGAGGTGTAAGCCCACTTCCTACCATCAATGTGATATTGGACATTTACTCAACTTCTCTGAGCTGTGCTTTTTCTCAATTGTTAGATAGGGATAATATGACCTCCCCACGATGATGATATGAACATATTCTATGATAAGTTGAAGTACATGGCATAGTGATCCATCATGCACATGAGAGTCTGATGTGATGGCCTGAAATGTGTTGACTGGCCACCTCTAAGCTTGCACTCTTGAGGGTCCAACCAAGTAGTTATGGTACAAACTGACTAGTGCCCCGTGGTCAGTCCAAGAGGCAGCTGACCTGAGCTGAGAGAGAGACTCAACCTTGACCAGCCACGTATGTCTCAGAGAAGTAAACACAAACAGGGCTTTCATCTGTCTTATTGTGACAAGTCTACTTAAAAGTAGCTGGCCAATCTCTAGCTGTAAGGGATTAAAATCAGGTGGGTCCAATTTTTTGACAAAGTTCATACTCAAGAACCATGAAGTTTAACCACACACACACACACACACACACCTCTCTCTCTCTCTCTCCCTCCCCCCCTCCATTTTAGGTAAGCTCCTTGCTTTGGGAATGTATCCTCAGGTTCACTTGGCCAGTGGACTGTAGGTTGGACACACTTGATAAATCTTGTGGAAAGTACTACTGAATAATACCAAAAAAATAAAACAACAACACAAAGAGTAAACTTTAAAAAACAAAGATTGCCTATGTTCTTTATAACCAGAAACAATCACTTCCCATTGTGCTTCTTCTAAAGATTAATTTTACTTGCACACAATGTTATATTAAGCTATAGTTGTATTATTATGTAATATATGTTAATTATAAATATACAGTTATTGGTCAACTATTATTAGTGTGGCTCACTGGCCACTTGAACCCCAGGATACAACACCCAGCACAAAATTATAAACACAGATAAACTATCATTTTTAAAAGCTGAGAAGTTACAGGTGTTCATCGTCTGTGTTTTCACTAAATATGAACTTCCCAATATATTAAATCTGCACCCTCATTTGTAATGGTCGCACATCAATCCTATGTTGGCAAGGTATTGTATTTGTCTTTCTTCTTCCTGGGGTACTTGTTTGCAGTTCTTTCCTACGATAACTAGCATTGAACGGTTCGTAAACACCACTGTCTGACTATTTCTTTAGATGTGGTATTGATGGGTCAAAGAGCACTTGATTCTCATTGTTCTAGTGGGGGTGGGGGAAGCTGACCTTGGTGTGATGGGAGGCTGAAGGAGAAACTTTGGTAACAGAAAACAGTATCTTACAGGTCCAGATAGACAAACAGTCTCTCTCTCACTTGCCTACCAGCAAGTCTGATTAGCTCACTGATGAGAACTAATCCTCCTGTGAAAGGTTCAGGGTCAAAGAGAAACAGAGCTTGGGGATGGGGAATTGGTAAAATGTTAGCTGTGCATGCATGAGGACCTGAGTTCTGTCCCTGAGCCCACGATAAAAAACCGACTTGTTGTGCAAGTTTGTAATCCCAGAACTGGGAAGATGGAGACAGAAGGATTCCTGAGGCTCACTGACAAGGCAATCTAGCCAAGTTGACAATTTCCTGGTTTAATGAGAAATAAAGAGAGCAATGGAGGAAACCTGATGTTAACTTCTAGCCTTTACAAGCATCTGCACATACATGCACACACCCCAATCAACACACACATAACCACACACACAAACACAACACAACACACACACACACACACACACAAAGAGAGAGAGAGAGAGAGACAGAGGCAGAGACAGAGAGAGACAGAGAACAGGACCTGTGCTTTACCTGGAAGCAAGCAGTGGAAATGACTCACAGAAACAACAATATGCTTTCTGAGCCTGCCACGGAGGCCCCTGGGATGAAGGGAGGTGGACCAAGAGCTCAATAAACCTATCCCTACTCTCTAAAAGGCATGCCACAGGAAGACAACACCCGACTCTCCATTGTGAATCCCAATGGCCTTGAAAACAGAATGAAAGAACAACAACAACCCCCCCCAAAAAAACACAACAACAATCAAAAACCCCAAAACCAAAAACCTTGTAGATATACATCTAAGGAGTCAATATGCATATACAATGACCTCAAAATAAAGCTAAGTCAGAAAGGGCAGACACTAGGCCTAGAGAAGCTTTCCATCAACCAAATACTACACTGGGTGAAGAGGAAATAAGTAGACAGGAAGTGCTCTCAGTCCCACCACTGGTGGGCACAATGCTTTTGGACAGGTCTCATAATGGATTTACAACGTGTTTACTGCAAAGTTACAAGTGATTGCATCTGGGTTTGGTGTTTGCAGTCTCCCTTCCTTTACCATGATGTTATCTTCCATGTTTTCATGACCTTCCCTTTCTTTTTCTTTTTCATCTTCCAGCCTCTGAATGCCTACCATCTGCTAACCCCTGTCCGGTCCCCTTTATTACTTTATGCTCAGTTCTGAACACACCTGGGCAAGTTCACGGTACTTTTACTTGATATTCTATAATGCGATTCAGGTCACACACAGCAGAATAGGGACGGGTTTCTAGTTTTTTCATCATGACATAGAAGAGTTGCTCAATAAGTGCTTGATGGCTTAGTGAATAAAAATTCACACAGAGCTTCACCTTGCTTTGTAAATCTATGGTTTCCACCACATTAGACTCCTTCACACATTATTTTGAATACATTATCTCAGTCTCTTTTCTGAAAACGAGACCTACATCAAGAATCGGAAGTGATCAAGGTATACAGCCCATTTGTATGAAGCAGGGCAATAGTCATGCGGCCGGCCCTGCTGAGAATCCCACAATCCAGCAACTAAAATGGGACACATACTCTGTGTGGGGCTTCCAGAGGCCACCTGCAGACTTGGGCAAGGACAAGTTCCAATAGGTGTTGGATATATGGTATATTGCTCCTGAAAATAAGCAGTCAACTCCACACCCTACACTCTGATTCCCTCTTCCCTCTTCCATCTACAGCTGGGTGTTGAACTAGACATGACTACTGAAGATTCTTACAGCTCGAATATTCTACTGCTCTAAAGATTAGGAAGAATTACCATGAGAACGTGAAGTCCTAAGGGTACAAGCCACATGTGTCAGAGGGTGACTAATTTCTTAAATTCAGCTTTAGCAGTGACACTCTAATTTACCTGAATATCCCAATTGGTTGGAAACTTACTAAACCTGCTAATATGACTCCAGCCTTTTGTCTGAGAGACATGGATTGGTTGGTTTCTTTGTTTTAACTAGGAAGAAGAACATCCGATCATAGATTAAACTTTCAGTGCATTAAATACAAGTACCATGTCTATGTCTTTCAAACACATTAATTAGACAGAAGGGAAGAATCATGTATTTCCCTTCTATCCCATGTAAACATGCTTAAAATATGTACTTTCTAATATGTATTTGAGAAATTAAAATAAGCCTAACTTACTATAGTAAATAAAAGAAATGAAGACAAATGTTCTAGTTACTAAACTAGCTGGTACCTAGCAGGCTCATCACTACTCCAGCTCCTGGAACTATTGTTTCTGAGGACAAGTACCCAATACCAACTTTTGGACTTTTCCTTTGCCTTTTCCCTCTGTAGACAAAAAGTTTCAATATATAGAGCAGACAGTCCTGGAAGTCACAAAGTAGCCCAGGCTAGCCTTGAACTTGTGATCCTCCAGGTGTGTGCCACCACGTCTGACTCCTTCATTCCTTTGCAGAGACTAAATAACAGTGATTACAGTTATATCCCACCTTGATCAGATAGTGAGAACACAAAAATGGATGTAATAAGCCCAACGACCTACAATTCTATATATACTCTTGCTATTGACTACTTTCAGATTATAAATAGACATCATTATCTTTTAAGATTCACTTTTTGAAATAACACCTCTAGCAGGGATGAAGACATGAGACACCATCACTGTGAGAAATCCTGACACAGAATGAAGATGACGCTGACAACTCCTTGGGGGAGCATTTAAAGCAACTGTGCATTAATTAGTCTCAGTCTTGTAAAAGATACCAGAAAGCTCTGAATAGCTACTTACTTTGTTGATGCAGTTTTTTATGAAGAAAGAAATGGCTCTTGCTTATGCAACAGTTCAGTGGAATTTTAACAACATTGTGACAAACATCTTAGCACACAAGAACAACCTTAAGGATGCTACTTAGTGGTAAGCTGCCAGCAGGTGAACAATAGCCAGGCTTAGAGGTCAATAAGAGATGCTACAACAACAACACAACACTGCAGACTGAAGGCCACAAACAAACTTTGGTTTCCTTAGGTACACAGGAAAATGGATCCCTAAGGATGGACCCATATATCAGCCAAAAACCTGACAACTTGCCCAGAATGGAGTGAAATCCAGTAGTGAGCTTATAATGTATGGATGGGACTGAAACCTATAAGGAGGCTCACAGATCCATTTCTGGGTTTCCTAAAACCACAGGGCATTAGTCAAACCAATAAACACACAGCAGGTTTTGTGAATTCCATTATAAGGTAAACAAAACAAAACAAAAACAAAGCAGCAAAACCCTGTGCAGCATGCATATGTTATAAATGTGACACAAAACAAAAGTGAAACCTAATGAATAGAAGACATCAAGAAAATACAGACAACTGCTCACTGAAGTTACAGGTTCAGACTCCAGCATTGTTCTAAGTATCAACAACTTCCACAAAAGAGACAGCTTTGCCCACAGATGGGTTGGAGTCATTGCTCTCTGATTTCGAATCCTGACTGTTCATTCTTAGCTGTGCAACCTTGAGTAAATCACTAAAGCCCTCTGTAGTTTCCATCTATACAAGGGCCTATACCTACCTTACCCGAGGATCGAATAAACCATATTGTATGTGGTGGTGTTCTGCGAACAGCAAAAAAGCTGCTGTGTTCTTGCAGTGTGGCAATGAACCCATGTCAACTTTGCATCTGTATTTAATCAAGAAGCAAATACCTGAGGTGTCACAGCCACGCCTTCCTGTTGAGGGCTTCCTCTGAGGGGTACTATGTCTATAAATAATGTGGGGTTTGTTTTGTTCCTCTTCATCCTCTGGCTCATCCACAGACAGCAGTGGTTCAATAAAATAATCTCCATCGTGGGACCGGAATGTGCCCATCTGTGTAGAGAGATGAGAGATTGATTCAACACAACTCATCCAATGGGAGGGACAAAAACACAACCCAAAGAAAGAGATAATACTTGGTAGGAGCAGGAGCAACTTGTTCACGGCTCCTCCCTGAGAGAGTTGAGGTACCCTGGAGCGGCTGTGGTTTATCTTCACTCTCCAACATATTGGAGGCTAATTCTTGACTTGATTGCAACAAGTTAAGATTGCTGTCCAAGTCTAGCTTTTCCTTGGTGGTTAAGTCCCATATCTCTTATTCTTCCTCCAGGAGGCTCAAGGAGAGTATGTTAAGTGCTCAGGCTGCCTAGACATTCACAGACACCAGTGCAATGCTGAGGGACAAGCTGGCTGGCCAAAACTTTCTCCTTTCACATTCACCATGATGGCCACAATGCATTCAAGATGGTGTTGCCTGTAACCCTGACACACAGTGTCCTCCTGTTCCCTTTGCCAAGGCAGAATGACATCCTAAAGGCAGTGTTGTCACACTCTGCTACGTGACTCCCAGGGCCACACCTAGCCTCCTTGAGTAGCTTCCTTGCTAGTCTGAGCTGTCACATTTTTGTCAGTTGGAGATAAAGTTCTTTCTTCAAATTCACCTGGGATGGTTAAATGGGATAAAAACCAGCCATGCACGTAGCCCAGAGCCGGAACCTTCTAAGGATTTGAAGTGACCAGTCGTTTTGGTATAGTATTAGTTTTAGTCCAATTTGCTCTTACCAAGCACTATAGACACATTGCAAAAGACCATTTTCCTGCTCCCCTCTTCACAAATCTACAAGTTTTGTAAATGATCCATGATGCCTTATGCTTGAACCATTCAATGCCATATGAACGTTGAAAGTGCCCAGTGGGCAGCGTCTCAGAGGACACACCAAACTCTCTTCCCACACTGAAAATAGCTAGAACTCTTCTCTCATTTCCTGGGCACAGGAGGAAAGATCACCCTGAACAGGTGTGGGTACCTCCAGATCTGCACTACACCAAAATCTCTGGGATCAGTTCAGGAATCAGAATTTTAAGACACTCTCAAGGTTCTTATACAAGAAAAGGCATGCAAGATGCCAGGCTAAGGCAAGGTTTTCCCAAACCAAGGGTGACCAAGACAGCCTGGGAGAAATTTTTTGTTTTTCTGATAAGATTTGGGGTGTCACTCTTCATTTACAGATTCAGAATTTCTAGGTGTGATGTCTAGAACCTGACTTTTTAAAGCCGCTCTCCTCGTGACTAAAGGACATAGACTCAGGCAAATTGTGTAGTCTGTGACAGATTAACAAGTCACCAGAGAAGCAGCAGCAGCGGGCTAGCACATTAATGCTCACCAGAGCACCTCAGCCTGGGGTCAGTATGCAACTGTTTTTTTCTAAGTACAGCGTGTGGAAGGTCTATGGGAGGCAGGACTAGTGAAAGGAGCCGGCGAGGCACAGAAAGGAAGCGATTTGTCCTCAGTTGTCCTTCAAGTGGTACAACTCAGGCTAGTGTTAATGCCAGTCCTGATTTTACACCAGTGTCTACAAAAATGAATCCAGCCATTCTCCTACATTCTCCTGAGGAATGTCAACTGGGCCTCTGGCCTCTGGTTAAGAGTATGGATGAGGAAGGCTGAGGTGAAATTACAACACGGTCACCCATCAGCATGAGGCCTGGAGAAAGATAGTAGTTCTGAAGGCCCAGGCATTTTTACCCGCAAAATGGACAGCTCTGAGGACTGGGTCATTGTATCACAGAGCCTACAGCAAAAGCTCAATGAATGGTAACAATGTGGAGGCAAGTTCAATTTTGTTATTGATTCAGAATAGTCACTGGGACCCGACTTATCTTGTGCTGGCTCAGGTGACCACTTGTTTAAATATATATTATGTACATAAACACACAATTGTTTACACTGAAGCATGCAAGAGGAAGAGATTGAGGTTAATGCAAATGCCTAGGACAGAAGAGGAGACCACATACATCAAGAACATAGTGAAGAAGAGAGACAGTGTCTATGATTTTGAAGCAGAGGGATGATACCATATGGAAGACTATGGAGTCTCATGGGGAAGTAGAAGTGAAACAACCCTTTAAAAGAAAAGAAAAAATGCTGGCCCAAGAACATAGCTCTCTTGCTGGTAAATCCAAGACAACCAATTGTCAGCAACACACACACACACACACACACACTCACACACACACACACACAGAGTGGACAATATATGTACTGGAACAGGAAGTTAAGAGAGCATTTAGAGAATGCATAAAGCTGACCACTTGAAATAGGGAATTTCAGAAGAAGAAACTAAGATAAAATTGGACACTGGTCTATGGATGACAGGATGTAAGGTCGGGATCTTAAACATCAGCTGTGGAATTTGATACTATTCACTAGACTATGAGGAGATGTGTAGGCTCTTTGAACATCGATGGTGATGAGATCTTGCAGCCCACTTATAAACCCGTTAAGGCTGTATGGCAGGGATTAAGGGGAAAAGCTGGGCGAGAAGCAGGTAGATGGAGGTGTTTCTCAGACAGTGGTCCTAAGGAGAGGGAGAGAAGCTCTGACTGGGCTTCAGATAGTCTCTCAGCAGAGGAGAGCAATGTATGAGTTGGGATTCAGGAAACTGAGAACTGGAGAGTGTGAGGTATGTGTGTGTGACCAGTGTACAGTTTGGGATCACTCTAAAGAGGGCAGATTTCCTGGAAGCCTTCATAGGCAATAAGGAACATCATTATGTAGGGACTGCTACAGAAAGGGTAAAGATAAGTCTTGGGAAGAAATAAAAATTCCAGGAGACGAAGAAGGCAGGAAGCACGCAGTTAGATTAGTGGCTAAAGACACGAAAAATAGTTCACATATTTTTAAAGTATATGTAGCCCCCCCCCAAAAAAAAAGGCATTTTGCAAGTTACACGTCATGCAAATTGGGTTAGGACAGTTCAAAGAGTACTTTCAGAAGTCCGGGTTCGCAGTTCTCAAGGAGACCACATGCACTGTGTTACCATGTAAAACCACCAATGGAAATTAAGGTCCTACGCAGAAAAATATTTATACAACTGCTGGGGCCTCTCGAATTCCACCGGTGTGTAGGCGGGGAAAGAGGAGGAGTAAAGACTGTTTACCAACGAAGTACACAGCAGCCCTATCTAAGAATCAGGAACTGGGGGTCCCTAGCTTTAAATCAGAGGTGCGCTGATTCTCTGGGATTCGCATCAAGACTTTTCAGCCTAGCTAGGCGATAACCTCTCAAAAATCGGAGCCAGTCTAGCGTCCAGGCCCAGGTTTGAAGCCATGATGACTCAACGCAGCATCCCCTCCCGGTCTCCGCCTACCCTCAATCAATCTCAGCCTGGCACTTTGGGCGCCTGGATTCCCAGTACTTAGCTGGTGGGTAAAGGGGCTCATCCCCTTTCCGGCATCCCAGCAGGCTGAACCTCCCCTCCTCCCAGTCTTGTAAAGTGCGGAGCTCCCGCCTGGATCCTGCTCTTGGACGTCTTAGAAGGATGTAACCTTCAGATCTGGAATTTAAGAGACGCAAGAACCAGCCAGCGAGTGAGTACCCAAGCCCCCACTTAGAAAGAGGAGGAGAAGGGTGTGTGTGCCAAGGGGAGAGAGTAAATGTACCAGGAGCATAGACTTTTAATAGCCAATTGTGCGTAATGCGCGGTGCAGTGAGCTAGGAGAGCGAGCCGCGGGAAACTTTCTGCGTCATATGCGCGTGATAGAAACGCACGTCGCTTGAGAAAGAGAAGGACCACCCTCGTTGGGGCCAGAATTGTACGAGACTCTCAATTGTCGTACGAATTGGGGGAGAGTGCCTTATTAGTTCCAAGAGAGGGTAAATAGAGGGGTCAGGAAGCAGGAGGTGGAGGTAGCAACTTGGATCACCCACGAAGTGCCCACTTGGCAGCACAGGGTGATTGCTATCCGTCACACTCAACCTTCCTAGAGAAAACGTGCGCTACACATTTCTATTTCTGTCCTTTGGAACTGCCACGGGTTCCTGAAGAATGCGCACTCTTCTTAAAGGCTACCTTTCCAGGCTCTGTCCCACTACTCTAGCGCCTCCAGCCACCACGCCAGCAGGGTGCAGAGTCGGACTGCAATGCACCACCCCTCCCCCCCCCAACCTTCTACTCCCAAACACCGCCTTAGAGACAGGCTCCGCCCTCACTCCAGGCTCTGAGTCCTTGGCCCACCCTTCCTTTCCAGGGACAGGATCGGCTTCCCTGTCAGTCTGGGTCAGTTTCAAAATTCCTTGCACGTGATAAAAGACTCCAAGAGGAAAGAACGCGGGGACACTAGGTTATGTACTCCCGTCCACTACGAGAGATATCCCAGCACTCCAGAAGGGGTGTCCCGGGATTGTCAGTTTACATCCCTGACTCGGAAGGGCCAATGAGGAGTTAGGTCCGCCCTGCGCTCAGCTGCTCTGCTCTAGGGCGGTCAAGTTTTCTACTAGAAACCACAACCCCAGGAACTTTCTCTGAGTTTGTAAACCGACGTGCAAGCTACTCTGCCGAGTTGGGCTACGCACAGCAAGCTCAACCCATCCCCAAGACAGCTCCAAAAGATCCACGACTCTCTGGGGACAGATGTGTACTCTCTTCTCGAGTGTAAGCGCACGCAGCCCGCCTGTAGACCCCCAAATCCCGGGACCTAAGCCAGTGCTGATATTTAACGCCAGAGCATAGACTTGGTAGGTTCAGACTAGGGGGCAATTAAGTTTCAAAGAAGCAGACGAGGAGGCGGGGAGGAGGATAGGGACACGCGCCCACTTACCATTCCGGAGCATAGGCTGATGACCGCAGTGTGCTCGGACTTGGTATTGACATGGCCTTTGTAGAAACAGTGCCTAAGTTCCATTTCCTCTTCGGAATACAGTTTGGTCTGGTTCACCCCTGGCTCTCCAAACAGGGTGACAGTGAACAGTGGAGCGATAAATCCGGTATGGGCGGTGAGATTAAATAGAAACTGCTGGCCGAAGGCTGAGAGGCGGTAATGCGCCTGGGAAGAGGTAGAGGAAGACCCCGAGGAGGAGGCAAAGGCAGGCCAGGGGTCAGAGGCAGAGTTAATGCTTCGTCGCTTTCTTTTGAAGTGCGCGTTCGTGGGAAAGGGTTCCCCGAGGGTGTTCACTCGGATGGGAGACGCGATCTCATATTCGCTCAGAGTCTCTAATAATTTCACTGCAGGGAGAAGCAAAGGCAAATCATTCATTTCAAAAGAAGATTGGGGAGGGGGGCTTTGCCCTAACTTATTTTGCAGCCCCTTCGTGTCAATTCTTTCACCTTCCATGTCTGGACAAATATTTGTCGAGCGCCTGCTGTAATAGTAACAGCCAACAACTGTGCGAGGCACTGAGAATACAGCATTAGAGGTCAGACAATGAACAAATCTAAAAACATAAGATAATTACAGGCTCTGATAAATTCCTGAATAAAATAAAATACGCGCTCTCCGGTGATTCTCAGCTGCTAAATAGCATTGATTTGGGACAGGGAATAAGGAGAGCAAAAATCAGGCAAAAAAAAAAAAAAAAAGAGCTAGGGGTGGCCCTAAAATTCTTGCAGTGCCTCCCTCCTTAATAGTTGGCTATGGATGACCCAGAGAAGAGAGAGGCTCCAAAACGGGAGGTAATTCTTTCTAGGAAAAGGAAAGAGGCCTCTGCTGCGGGGTGCCCGCCCCGGAGCGTGTTCGAGGAGGTGGCGATGGAGTGCTGCGGGGGGGGGAGGGCGGGGGGGGGAAGACGTGGGGGGGATCTTGAGGGTCCAGAGCCAGGTTACCTTGCCTCGGGTGCAGCCTGTCCTTGCGCACTGCCGCCGCGGCGACAGGGCTCCTCATCACAGCCAGGTCCGACACCAGGAGCGTTAGCAGTGTGGCACAGGATACTAACTGCATGGTGCTCCTCACCCCTCCCCCTCGCTTCTCCCACCCCCTCCCTCCTGCCGGCTTTGGTGGCTGGCGGCGACGCGAGGCAGCAGCAGTGGAGAGCGCGCGGAACCCCGGCGCCCTGCCGCCAACTTTTTGACTTTAGGAGTCGCTGAGGTCTTGCAGAGAGGGTCCCGTCTGCGCTCGGTTGAGCAACGCTGCCGCCTGCCGTGAGCTGAGCCGCTCGGGCCGCAGGAGGAGGAGAAGGAGGCGGAGGACTAGGGCTCGGTTGCTCGGCCGCATAATGTCCAGCCAGCGGGCAGGAGAAGGCGCTGAACGTGCGCTCCGAGGCGCGCCAGGCGCCCTGTGCTGGCCGAGTTAGCCGAGCCGCTTCTTGAATGGGGGGCCAGGGGGCGGGGGCCCCCGCGGGCGCTCAAATACCCTGGGTGCACGCCTCCAGGAGGAGGAGAGGGGAGGAGAAAACGAGGCAGGCGGCCCGCCTCCTTGCAGATCCTGTCCCCTCCTCGGCCGCGGGTGCCAGGACTGGCGGCTTTAGGCCCCTCCAACTGCCGGAGGCGGAGGCCAGAGGCGCTAGCAGCGCTGGAGCAATCGGTGACGGTCCGCGTCACCTCCCCGAGGTGGGGTTTTCAGAGTCTCTCTGCTTGAGAGGGAGAGCAGAGAAAGTTCTCTTTCCTCTGTGGCGCTCAGCCATTCACTCCGACTCTCCTCCTCTTCTACTTCGGTCCCTCCCGTTTGGAGTCTCTCCCTCTCCGGGTCTTGGTGAGGATCTCTCTGGGCCCCGTTCCCTCCTCTTCGATGGTCTCTTCCTTCTCTGCTTTCTACTGTGCCTTCTTCATCTCCCCATTTCTGCCTGCTCCCTTCATTCTGTCCCCATCTCTTTCCACCGCCCCACTTGGAATCCCTTACAAGAAAAAGTAGCCCTGCGCCAGAGTCCCAATCCTACAGTTGATCACCAAAAACTAGATTTGTCACCTGAGCTCCACTCTCCATTTAATTGCCTCAAGTTCTTCCCCAGACTGGCTAGAGCATCTACAGGTTTCTGTTGGTCCTCGCTCACAAAAAGTTACAGGGTTTACTGTGCAGTTTGGGAGCCCCCGACTCTGCTCGAGATTTGAGGGCAAGTGAGGAGCTGTTGGTGGAGGGGGGAGGGCACTCCAGGGATTTCTCAATCACTTGTGCTTGCTTTTGGTAGAAAGGATGGGAGCAGGGAAGTGACTTCAAGTTATCACCCTCCTCCCGTTGAGGGAGCACGTTTGAAAGCCAGAACTCTAGAAAGGAAGACAGGGAGAGCTGGAGGGACCGGACAGGGAGAATTGTTAAATCCTGGATAGTTCAAAAGCACCTTTCCCCTTTAGCTCTGGGGAAGAGAGGATGTGACAATTCCAAGGGAAAGGAAATGACCATTTCAGGAACAGATATGACTAACAAATTCATAGTTGCCCAAGTTTCCTAGAACCGGAGTTTACTGCTGCTTGGCCTGCCATTCAAAACTGAGAATATCAAAGTGCCAATAGAAACCAGAAAACAGTTCCCCGGGAGTGCCACCCATCCTGGAAACAATGATGTATACAGTTCTGATGACAGCGGAAAAATGACCTGGCAGGGTTGCAACTTCCGAAAGATGTTACTAATTCAATGGTTAGGCACCACTGAAACGACCAGGCACCCAGTATCCAGGCACGATGTACACTTGAAATCTCATTAATCAGGAGGCTGAGGCAGCAAGCTGGAGAAATCTAGACCAGCCTAAGCTACATAGACCGCCTCCCCCAGACTTAAAGCAAAATAAAATAACAGAAGAAACATGGAATTTTGAAGGATGGCTTTTTTCAACCTTGAATCTTCAAAATAACTCACAATAGTGAATTTCTTCTAGTATGCCAGCTTCCTTTTCATTATGTGCTAATGATACCTGGGAGTTGCTGAGAGTTGAGAAATTAGTCTACAGGAATTGACTCCAGTGGAGGCCTTACAGTATTTCTGCCATTCTTGCAAGCTCAGTGCTTTGGAAAACATTTCCTCTGTTTAACTCAAATCCTCCTGGTCAAGAGATGCTAACAGCACAGACATGGAGGGCAGGAGAGATGGCTCCTTGTTAAGGAGCACTTGCTGCTCTTACAGAGGTCCTGAGGTCCCATCTTACCACCTCCTATAGGGCTGCAAACAGCTGTCAGGGGATCCAACACCTTCTTCTGGCCTTTCCAACATCTCTGTACACACATTCAAGTACCCATAATTAGAAATTACAAAACCTTAAAAATCACCACGCAGAGGAGCATGTGTGTGTGTGTGTGTGTGTGTGTGTGTGTGTGTGTGTGTGTGTAGCTTTAGTCCTTTGGTTTCTTCCTAAAACTTCAAGAATGGTTTCTGGGTGGGGGTGGAAAGGAGACTGAAAGATGACTGCTCTTCCAAAGGATTTGGGTTCAATTCCCAACATCCACACGGCAGTTTGGAACTGTCTGTAACTTCAGTTCCAGAGGATCTGGCGTCTTCACACAGACATACATGCAGGATAAACCTCAATGTATGTAAATAAATAAATACGTCTTTTTTAAAAAAAAGGATGGTTTCTGTTTGCAGTTTAAAAATTGTTTCTGAGACTACAGTCATTTTCATAAGAGCTGATTTAAAGAGGTCTGAAGTACCTGCTGTGACCTCCTGGGATCTTGGGACCACAGGTTAATGATTTCTGGTCTTCATGGAGGTGCTCATCTGTGGATCAATGTACTAGCCAGCCTCAGAACTTCTGCCCACAAAGAAGTCTTAAAGCATAACAGAGAAACATGGTTCAAATTGTGAGACAAAGAAGATAAATGAACTTGCTAATTCAGGTGTTAATCTTAAATAGTAAATATTTTATTGAAAATTTACCATGTACCAGACCATGTTTTTATATTAGCCCTACAAGGCAGGTGGTGTTAGCTATTTCATTTTGTAGATTAAAATACTGAGATCAAGAACAAAACAAAAAGCAAAACAAACAAAAAACCGAAACACTTGGACAAGAATCCTTGACTAGTAAGTGACACAATTCAAGTTATTTTGAAAGATTAGTCTAACTCCATAAATTACTATATGTAAGCTGATATGATGGTGTATGTACCTGGAATCATATCCAGTGTTGTAGAGGCAGAGGCAGGCAGATCTCTGTGAGTTGCTTGTCTATATCAGTGACTCTCAATCTTCCTAAGGACATGACCCTATCTATCATACAGTTCCTCCTGCCATGGGGACCCCAACCATAAACTATCGTTGCTATTTCATAACTGTAATTTTGCTACTGTTATGAATTGTAATGTAAGTCTCTGTTTTTTGAGAGGGTAGTTCGACCTCCCTGAAGGGGTCACAACTCTCAGGTTGAGTCTGTACAGTGAGTTCCAGACTAGTCAGGGGTATACAATAAGACTCCATCTCAAAAAACAAACAACAAACTCATAATTATTATATAACAAATGATTCATCATAATTCTAGCTCTATTCAGAAAGGGTGAGTAGTATTGTCAGAAAATTGTTGGTCAGTTTCCTATTTTCTCCCTCTCCTCCCCTTCCTTCCTCTTCTCCTGTCTTCTCCCCTGTGCTGGGAATCAAGTCATTAAATGCAGGCCTAGCACATTCTGTGTTAGTGCTGTACCACTGACCTCATCCCTAGTCCTGAAAAGAAAATCTTTTTAAACAGGGCCTCAAACTAAGAAGTTCAGACTGTTCTTGAACTCCCATTGTACCCCGGGCAGGTCTCAGGTTTTGAACTTGCCATCGTCTGGTGTGATCTTCATGAGTAGCTGAAGTTAGAGGCATGAGGCACCACTTTTTGGCTCTAATGCTCATTAACAATAATTGTCTCAGATTTTCATAGCTTTTCCTTTGAAATTACAATAATTCCACACATGGTGTGAGCTAAAAAGTACTGAGTAAATGAGTAATTGAATGTAACCCTTATCCACCTCCAATAATACATGTGCACTTGGGGATGGTGGTGGTGGTGGTGGTGGAGATTTGGTTATACAAAGTGGTATTAAAATGGTCTGAATATGGAAGATCAATGTGGATTTTAACACCACCCTTCTGTGCACAAAGTGTTCTCTGAAAGATCCAGAGCTTTCTGGGGGTCATTTCAAGTTAACACACACACACACACACACACACACACACACACACACACACACACACACAGAGTTTTTAGCCAGTTTTCCTCTCTGAATTTTTACTGGAATTGGATATTGCTGTAGGTTAAAGTGGAGGCCTTCTTTGGATGATTCTGCATAAAAATAGGTTCCCGAGGAATGATGCTGACAGTGGATATCCTGGAAGATGAAAATACAGGAGATGGTATTCGTTGAAATAAATGCCATTGAATCAACAGGAAGGAGAGAGAATATGTACACATATGTATGTACACATACACATATATACACATATATGCATGTATCTATGCATATATATGTATGTATCTTTGTCTATACATATGTATATATACATATGTATGTATAGACATTGAGCCTCTGTCTGTGCACAAAATGTGCAATACCTAGGGAGGCCAGAAGAGGGCATCAGATGTCTGGGACTGGAGTTAAAGAGGGTTGTGAGCTGCCATGTAGGTGCTCAGAATGGAACCTGGGACCTCTGCAACAGCAGTTAGTGCTCTTAAGCAGTGAGCTATCTCTCTAGCCCTGGGAATCACATATTTGCAGGATGAAACTGGAAAGGAACTACATCATCTTTGCCTGTCATGTGGGTAAATGACCTGTGTTACGGCTGCTGATTTCAAACAAAATATTATACTAAGCATGGAGCTTGTTTGCTTGTTTTGTTTTGTTTTTTGTATCCTCATCTTCAGCAGAGAATCAGAAGGCAAAGGAGCGCCACAGAACTAAGAGTGCCGAGTACGGAGTGCTCTGAGCTGGGCTCAGCTCCAAAGCTTGCGATTTCAGCGATAGAGTGCAGCTTACATCACATACAGTCCTCTGGATGATTATTCAAGGTCTTTCAGTCTTTGTACTCGACCTAATAAATATGACGTGTAAGAACACCGGTTTTCCCTCTGATGCTGCATTTAATGGTCTGAAAATCTTCTGTTGCACCTGCCCTACA